AGCTGCTTCCACAAAAAACTATGCAATATGCATAAATATATTATGGAAATATTTTCCAGGGCTCATCAATATATGAACTCAACTCTTCGAGCAGAAAACTCGCAGTGCATATGACTCTTCAGTTTGAAAGAGAATTGCTTCTGGTAATTGAAATTGATTATCATAATTTTATGATTTCCCACATCATATCATGCTTGACGCACTGAAGGAGCTTCCCCAGTGAACAACTTGCTAATGAAATGGATATAAGTTTCACTTTTCAAAGTGGAAACGAGACACTACAATAGGGCTCGGCAGTCAGTAAGCCAAAACTCTGCCAAGGCGTGCAGCCAAGTGTTGCCAGTGTTGCCAGTGCTGGCCCCTCTCGCGCGGGGGGGAGCTGGAGGTTGGCGCTGCCTCGGCATGCACGGCCCAACGCCCACTATCCGCAGCGACTAATTTGCTGTAGTTCTGGCTGCTCTCAGCCGCTGCCTGCCTTATTATGCGCACTTCAAACTTTAGACAACGCGGCAGCAGGAGCAGCACCGACAACAACAACTGCATTCAACTGGGCTCGGTATCTGCCTCAGTGCTGTTCATTTTTTGGCAAGCTTCGCGTGCCGCGCAACGCCGCATCGCCCCCGCTGGCCCTTAGCCGGGCTGATTTTTAATGCAGGCAGGCACTCACTCAAATTTTCGAGTGCGCCAATGCAGCTGCAGCAAAATGTTGTATAGTTTTCGTTTAATTTGATGCCATTGTAGTTGTTGTTGTTGTTGCTGCTGTTGCTGCGAAACTGTGTCGCTAAAGTTGCTCGTCGGACTGAGTGGGGCAGCGAAACACAAGTGAATACAGAATAAATACACAAACGAAAAAAAAAGAAGACAGAAAAGAAGAGCGAGAGGAGAAGGCAGAATAGGAAAAAAGTTGTCTGCCAAAATCAGCGCCACTTTTGCCACAGACATTAAGCGTTGCATGCAAAATTACCAGCGAGTGGTTTGAATTTCCACTCTGATTGTTGTTTAACATGGTTACATTGTCCTTGCAACTGAATCCTGTTCGGCAGTTATTTCGGTTGTACTTGCAACGGTGCATCCATGTGGCTGCTGCTGTTGCTGCTGTTGCTGTTGCTGTTGCTTCTACTCCAGCTGTAGCCCTTGCCCGCGGCTGTGGTTATGCATCATGTCATGCTCTAGTTGCAAAACTTTTGGTGTTTCTCCCATTTTTTATTGCTTTATTTTTCTATATTTTTTCTACGTTTTTTATCGCTTTATTTATATGCATATAGGACAAGTGGCAGAAAAAAGTGCAACAAGCAGCTAACTATACATAAATTTGTTTTATGCACAACATAAACTTTTGCACATTTGTTGCCAAAAAAAAAAAAAACAAAATTGAGAAGAGCACAAGAGAAGTTCAACGTAAAGTCTAGGAAAATAAAATGCATCAGCTAGTAAACAGGATCTTTTGTTGTGCACCTGCAGCATGCAACTAATTTGTGCTTAGACAAAGCCAAACGAACTGAGCAAAGTTTTTGCAGCTTAACAGTTTTGCTAGATGGCATAGAGCAGCATGTAGCATGCTACACATGTAACTAGTTGCAGGTTACTTCATCAACATTTCACGCTCGACTTGCTCAAAAGCAGGCTAGAAGAAACGACTGCTGCTGCTGCCGTTTCGGCTGCCTGCGTTGCCAGGCACGCAGTAAAAATGTGCGCTCCATGGCCCCTACCCCCCTCGCCCCTTCACCAAACACCGCATGCCACATGCCACATTTGGTCTAGTTGCCTGCCGCACCTGGCCAAAAACTCTGCCGACAAAATAAACTCTACTCAACTGTTGAAAATCAACTGGCGACCCCTCAGCGCCCACAGTTCGTAGCCAACACGTGGCCCACAAAAGTTTGCAATCAATTTTTATTTTCTTCTTTTTCTCACTCGACCACCGCAAATACTTGGGCAAACATATTGAGCGCTGCAGACCTAAGCTTCCTCTAACAATCTATGCAACAGACCATGGAACGTCAATAAACTGAACTGGAGCTCCGTCGTATCAGATAACTATAAAATATACTGAAGCGATTCGTCAGCTGCCTTCGGCATGATAAGAAGGATGGCAAGGAGCGTAATTGCTGAAAGTGATCTAGACAGCCTTAAATCAAGTGATTCTCTGATGGAACGTATAGGATTATATTGCCATTATAAAGTTCCCCATGGATCTTGAAATTAATGGAGTATATTCTCAAGCAAGAGACAAGATTTTGAAAGAAATGGGTGTATAGAAATTCGATTTTTAATAATTGAGGAAATTTTCTTATTCTCTACTTTAACGCACACACATACATATGTATATATTATGTCAGACTCAAAAGCCATTTCGACTGGAAACTGAATTTATAACGAGTCAATGTCATTTTCGGTCCATCAATGCCCAGCAGTGAACATAGCCATATAATTTTAGCATCTTTATCTAGACCGTATACACACGAGTATCGTTTGCAATCAACTGGAATCTAACCAGAAGCACATCTGCGCAATTGCGTATTGCGTAAGAAGAAGAAGAAGAATGAAGCACATGTAGGCAGACGCATATAAGAACTAGTTTAAGTTGGCTATTCATTGGTTTTATTTAATTGAATTTGAATCTCAGTAATCAGTTAACTAGATCTGCCAACTTTTGAATGCTGGGTATTTACATAAGTTTACTACCTTTGGGCCAGGCTGGTTGGCCATTTGCAGCCGTCTGAATGTCTGCTTTGTTGCTTTGTCTGCACGTACAGACACACACACACACACACACACATACGTGTAGCCATATGCGTGGGTGTGTATTTGTGGCAGCAGTTGCCGTAGCCCAGTTTCCATTTCGCACTGCTATTTTGCCAGCAAGTTAAAGTGTTTCGCCACGCACTCCAATAAAAACATTTGCACGCACACAGAGACGCACGCACACCAGCATATATATATGACTGAGCTGGCCAGGACTGTGCCAAGTTAAACCATTTGAGAGCTGCCACGTTGTGTTGTGTCCCAGTTTCGTGACGAGCAGCTCTTGCGTTACGCATACGCCGCATGGGCTCGCCGATTGTGGCGCGGATTGCCATACACAGACTGTCTCTGTGTCTGCGAGGGAGCGGCGTGCCGAGGCTTTCTGTCTGTCTGTCCGTCTGTCTGTCTGTCTGCCTCTCGCTGTGATGGCTGGCTCTTGGACATTTATTATGTTTATCTAGTATTCAATTTGGCTGGCAACCTGTTTACCAACATTTGCATCAATGTTTGCCGCATGCAGCATATGCTCAAGTGCTTAATAGCCTGTATGCCAAGTGGCTGCTGTCATCAGCAGCTGCCCGTTTCAATAAAATCCACGAAATGAATCGCTAGCTTGTGTCCATGTATACATTAAGCTATTAGTCACACTTCGCTGGCTACGCGGCCTTTAATAAATATTAATTGCATTAATTCAATGCTAATTAAAAACCGATAACAAATCCAAGCGTGCTCAAAGCAACAGACGCCCCGGCTCCCAGCCGCCGTACGCGAATGTGCGTGGGCGTGGACTTTTGTTTAGCGGCGTGTGGTCTGGCTGTATGTGTGGCCTGCTACTGTGTGCGTGTGTGTGTGTGTGCGCGCTCCTTTTAAGTCTATAAAAATAACTCAGGACTCCAGCATAAGAAATGATATAAGGGTCTGAGCGAAATATGTCAGCGTTACTTAAATATCTACATTAACATAGCATTTAAAGGGCCACGCCCACACCTGGCTGGCCCCAACAACGACCCCTGTCGGCGAGCTGTCTGCGCTCAGGTGTCAATGCTGCAGCCAGCAGCGTCAGGTAATTGCCGTCAGCTTCTTGTTGCCATTACAATTCTTGTTGTGCAGGACAATTTGCGAGTGTGTGCGCCTGTGCTCAAGTATCGCATTTAGTTACAGGATATTTAGCGGAAGGTTAGAAGCGGAAACCGAAATAGTGCACTGAGAGAAAACGCGTCATAAATGAGTAAAATGTTATAAAAGAACGACTAAATTGGAAGATAAGTAAAACTGTATTTTATATATATTATTTTTATAATTTTTTGATTAATCTCACATTATTTAAGCTTGTGAAATGTCTTCAAACAAAAATTATAACAGCATTAGTTACATATGTTTTTTGCAAGTGTAGAGGTAAGGCAAAGAGACAAGTTGAAGTAGAAAATTGGCGGTGACATTGATGGGGTGAGGCTGCATAGACTGTGGGCGTTGGGGGTGTGGCTGGAATGGCAAGTAGTGGGCGGACTTTTACAGCAGCCACCACATCAACACAGCTCCAGCAACAAAGTACACAAAAAGTTTTCTAATTATTTTGTCATTAAACGCACACAAGGTTACAAACTCACACACAGACACACACGAATACAGTCGCACACACTCATACATATATACACAGCAGCCTTGTTTACAAGCATACACATGTTTGTTGAGCTATAAAAAAGGGTTACGTATCCAAGCCAAACCCAAACTCACACACACACACACATACATACACTCATAGACAGTGAGGGAGTCCTTAGCGCCAACGAGCGGCAGACACGAAGCAACTTTTTGTCCTAATTGTTTCATTTCATGAAATGAAGGTAAGAAATTTTGGCAGCTGTGCGTATATTGCCCTAGGT